AAGCAGAAGGTCATTTAAGAAATGGTATGTGATTTCCTGTGGCTAGAGTACAGGCCTTAGATGGAGTTTTAGGAGACAAGATTGAAGAAGCCAGCATGGGCTAGAAGAAAGAGAACTTGGGGATGCTGAGCAAACCCATTGAACTTTTAGCTTTTTAGAGGCAAAAGGGAGACTCTGAAAGGTTTTTAGGCGGAGTATGAACTGAGTAGGTTTTGGGATAGGAGAATCAGAAATAGATCCTGGGATAACCATTATAAGACTGAAGTCTTGAGTTGAGGATTTGTAAAATACCAGCATTCATGACATGGAAAGGTCATGTCCAATGACAAATGTTGGTATTAATCAACTGCTTGTCTATGCCAGTCCTTGTGCTAAATTTCTATGATCAAATTTAAACCATTTATACTCTTACAGCATGGGACTTATTCTAATTCCCACTTCACTGATGAGAGAAGCTAAATCACCACAAGTTAATTTGATCAAGAGCACACATCTGGTTAATGGAAGAACTGAGATTTGGTTCCAGACAGCGTAACTCCTAAAATGTGCTCCTATGCAATGTGAGATATTTACCTTCTATGGGATGCGAGGAAGGCTAATCTCTAGTGACTGAGATGGCACTGGGGATGAGGTTTATGTCCTGGCCTGGAACCAGCATTATCTATGAGTCAGGAAGTTGTCATGAAGAGGGGAATGAACAGACAATGGAGAAGTAGCCAGACTGCCGGGTCCCAGCTTCTTTGTGATCTTCACATTTTATATTTTGTATGCTTTTCCACATTACAACCAGGAGTAAGCTGCAGCAAAGTCTCCCAACTAGTGTGAGCTCAGGTAAAGCACAGGTTGAGGCTCATCAGCCAATGATTGCTGAGTATACACAGTGACTTGGGTTGTTTTGTAACCATCCCAGAATGTGTCTGGTACTGGGATACAGTAGAGCAGTCTGACTGAGTGCTTTCACTTCTTTGAAGTGAATGCTGTTGACAGCAGGGAGTGAGACAGCACACGACTAACCCATGACTGGCCGTGAGCAAGGAAAATTCAAAGCATTAGATCATGAGCAGCGATGCCTTTGAGATGATCTTTACTTTTGCAACACTTACTTAAAATTTAACTACACACTTTTCCTGAAGGTTTCCAATCTGAATTCAGAGCTAAGCTTTTCAAAAGGGGAAAGATGGAGAATGTGCAGATATTAAGCATCTGCTATTTGACAGATACATTAAGGCCCGATAATTGTTCTGGGGCAGTATTACGGACCGAATCATGCTCCCCTTCCCAATTTATATGCGGAAGTTCTATTTCTATACCCCAGTGTAACTGTCTTATGAGACAGAGTCTGAGATCATTTGTAATACTAGTATTACTAGGATTTGGTGTTTATTGCCTTATAAATGAGAAGAAGGAAGAGGAGTTTCTCGCCTCCATTTGAGGAGCCAGAAGGAAGATGGCCATGTGCTAGTTAGGAAGAGAGCCCTCACCAGAACAACCATCAACTGGAATATGCCACTGATACTTCTCCGCACCCAGAACTGTGAGAGATGTCTGTTACTTAAGCTGCTTGTCCAGTCTGCGGTGTGTAGTTATGGTGGCCCAAGCTGACTAACACAGAGTCTATACATTCTACAGATGGCCAGGATGGGTAATAGCTTTCTAGTCCAATGGAGTCTGGATTTGAAGTTAAATCTCTGGCATATTCTATGAACATTGTACCTTCTTTTGAATGAATAAAGTTTTATTTTTACTACAGGGCTGGCCTGTTTTCTTTACACATCTCTTTGACTACGTTTGTGCTCATTTCCTTATGGTCCTGGGGAATCACCAACCATCTTACTTCATTTGGGACTGTTTTACTTTTTTGAACACTGGGAAATATGATGGGAAGTTCTTCAGTGTGATTTAAAAGAGGCTCAGGTAGTATTTACAGGGATAGATGGACTTTCAGGCCAGAATGACACTTTTGTAGTCAGATACGTCATTTACTGGCCACAGGAATCTGAGTCATTGTAAACCTCTCTTGGTTCATATTCTGTAGAATGTTACTGTGAAATCAGAATAGGGAAAAGTATATTAAATACATGGCATACTTGCATGATAGATGCACATTAGTATATGGAAACTATAAAGAGCTCCTATATCTTAGTTCTTAAGAATGAGATGAAATGAACAAGAGAGAGTATATATTCAGCCTTACAAAGAAGGAATTCCTGTCAATTGTTACAACAAGGACTAATCTGAAAGATATTAGGTTAAGTGAAGTAAGCTGGCACAGAGAGATAAACGATGTGTGCTTTCACTTACTCATGGAATGGACAAATGTTGAACTTGTAGATGCAGAGAGTTGGAGTAGTTGTTACCAGGGTTGAGAGGAGGGCATTTAGAAATACAAAATTTCTAGCAATAGGAGTAAGGTCAAGAGACCTATTGTACAACATGGTGCATTGCGGAGTAGATTTTTAAGTGTTCTTTCCATAAAAATATGTACAGTAATGCAAATGACTTGACTTAGTCATTCCATAACACACACACACACATATAAAATCATGTTGTACGCAGTCAGTACAGAGTATTTATTTATTTATTTTTGCTGGTCATGGGGCTTGAACTCTGGGCCTGAACACTGTCCCTGAGCTCCTTTCACTCAATGCTAGCTCTCTAACACTTGAGCCACAGCACCACTCCTGGTTTTCTGATGGTTAATTGGAGGTAAGAGTGTCAAGGACTTTCTGGCCTGGATTGGCTTTGAAACACGAACCCCAGATCTCAGTCTCCTGAGTAGCTAGGATTATAGGCCTGAGCTACTGGTGCCCAGCTTGAATATTTTTGTTTTTCAACTAACAAACAGAAAGAGCTCTTGAGAAGTCAAATGGTATTATACTTTTGAAGGACTAACTTCCACTCCAACAAAATGACTACTAGGGAACTGATATTTGACAAGTTGGGTATGGTCAAGGAGAAGAGGGTAGATGAATGAAGAGAGGAAGTGGGGAGAATGCAGAAATACATAATCCTACACAATTAAGAAAATTGAGGAAAGGGGTAGGGTTGGAAGAAATGGTGGAGAATGAGGAAAGGGGTGACATTAATCAGGATGCATTGCATTCATAAGATGATTGGTTGAATGATAACTCCTTTGTAAAACTAGTTAAATTAATAAAAATATAAATTAAAAACAAGAAATGTGAACAATGAAGTAGCAAACTAGGAGATGACTTTGAAAGTCAGGTAAGAAAAATGAGGGAAGGGGTAACAAGTCAGACAAGAAATATGATCATTGCCCTGCTTATGTAACTGTAACCCCTCTGGATATCACCTTGACAACAAAATTAAAATAAAAAAAATCAGGTATGAAGACCTCAAATTGGCCAATAAATAAAAAGATTCATAAAGTCCCTTATACTCAGGGACCTGCACATGAAAATAGTGAGATAAAATGTCCTCTCATAAATCCAGTAGGATTTAACAAGTCAACAAATGGCCTAGGGGAGAATGAGCAGCTACAGAACCACTCAGAAAACCAGAGGAAAATGGTTTCAGTCAAGTTGGAGAGCAACTGGGCAATATGATACTTTCTAAAGTAGCAGGGATGGGACCCTTACAATCCAGCAAAAGTGCTTGTACTGCTGCCCCAAATGTGCATGATGGTGTGTACCAAAGTGCTTTTTTATGATAAGAAAAACCAGTAACAGACTAAATGTCTATTCAGAGGTCACATGACAAAATGTATATTCTTATGTACATATGATATATGTACAGACAATGGGTAAAATGAATTAAATTTATAGATATCAGATTTTGAACAGATTTTTAAAATGGTAGTATTGTTTGAGAAAGAGCAATGTTATAATTTACAGACACAGGCATAACCATATATATTAAAAGCCATAGACGGAAACGATATATATTAAGTGTCGTAGGAATTGGCCCTTAGGAGAACAATTTATGAAATATTTTATTCTTTTGGAAATGCAAAAGTAAAGGTGAATAATTTTTAGTATTGCTTATTTCCAGGGATTGGTTCCTACAGGTTCTCACATTTCTTCTGAGGCATCTTGGACTATTTTGGACATTTCTTTTTCACTGTTGGCCACTTATTCTGACCGTGGCTAGATTTGTGTGTTTCCTACCCCTGACCCCAGTCGGTCTAGCAATGCTTGATAGTGGGTTCCTCTTAGTATTTCCTCTGTGAGGTCTCCTTGCCTTTGGCAATGGAACAGGGTAAGTGATGCCACCAGCAGTGTATTCAGGGATTGAACTGTGTCAGAGTAAAGAAGACAGAAGGAGCCATAAGACACAGTTCTCCTCTTTCCTCTGTTCCTAGATGTGGCTCCTCCTCGCCTCCCACCTTGGAAGCTGTCCAGAGACACTTCATTTGGTTGACTTAATGGAGTTTCCAAGGTACTGGCTGAATCCATTCACAGTTTCTACTGCTGGCACCATAGAATACAAGCTTGCATTCATCACCCATTCTCCTCTCACTTCCTCCCTGTCTCATTCACTGGCACTGTCTTGCCCTTAAACTTTGCTTTGTGCTATTTTCTCTAAGAAATATAGGCTAAGGCATTACTTTTCTTACTTTCTCGTATTTCAAATGTGACGTAATAAAAGAAAATGCTCAACCTACAGCGACTGCTTGTTACTAATATTGCTGTAGTTCCACTGAAATCAGATCCTGCAAGCCTTGAACTGTAACTGTTAAATAAATGTTAAATCACTAGGCTTGAAAGAAATCTGAGTTACTATTTAAATACTATTTAAAAATAGTCCAAAATTTAAAATAATCAGTTAATCAATTTAAAATTCATATAAATGGTATTACTGAAAAGTAGGGATTTTCCCTAGACTCGTAAGCTAGACAGACAATGCCCAAGTTGAGGTATTACTCAATACCAAACCAATTGCCAAGTTTTTTAATAACCCTGCCTCCCTCATTCCTCCAGTGGTTCCATTTCCCAGAAAGCCAAGCACTTTCTGAACATGCAATGGTGGTGAACACTCACTCTCCACTGTGGTTCAAGTTGTCGTAACGCAGAAAGAGCCCTGCATAGATGGTCTCTGTCAGTAGGGCATAGATAGCGATCATGATGAGCAGGACAGCCAGCTTCAGGACAGAGTTAAGTCGGAGGAAAACTGCACAGGTCACCATAGCCAACACCCCCGTGAAGACAAAGTACTGCAAACAGAGAATGCAAGCTGTTACATTTCCATAGGAACCTCAGGGCTCCCTCTCTTAACCATGTGCTGGCAGGACTCCTTGGACAGACATGTATTGAGCAGTTCCCCTTGGGGGTCAGCCCCCTCACTAAGCTCAGTGGATCCCATAGGGTCCTTCATTTTCCTACCCCCCCCCCCCCCCGCCCCTATGCCTCTCCTTTCCATGAATGACGTCACAATTCACATCGTCAAGAGAAGTAGAAGGCTCACTTTGATCTCTGTTGCCTTCCCCTGTCTACCTTCCACAGGCCGGCCGTTCTATTGGGTCTACTTCCTTAACAGAGCTCACATCTGGTGAACTCCTTCCTTCAGTCTTCTTTGTTTTAGTTCTCAGGGCCAGTTCTTGAACAGTTTATTTGCAGCTGGACTAGTTAGGTAGTTGTTAGGCCCCAGCCCCCATCCAACACATATGGACATTCTCTACATGTCACTCCTTACGTGAAATCACTTCATTGCTCTCTAGTTCCTTCCGAGTATCAGAACTCACAGGCTACCACATGCCAACCATTGACTCCTTCTAGAATTCCTCAACTCTCAGCCATGTGACTAAGACTTCCTCCTCTGACAAATGTCAGCTAAGATATACTGCTCCAGAGAAGCCTTTCTGGATGCTTCTGGATCCTGCCACATTCCTCCCGATTGCCCTGTCAAGACCAGAATGACTTCTGTTACCCTAGATCTGAAGTAACATTCCTACCTGCAAATCCGAATCACCCAAGAGCTGGAAACCTGAAGTAGCCTTCCAGTCTCCATCTGCCCAGCTAGATTCCAGACTTCTACCATAAGCTCCTCAGTCTACTGTCCACACAGACATATCCCAGTATACTATTCATGGTGATGGGTTGGGACTGTGATTATCCAATGGGTACAAGAGCTAAAACTCACACATGCTTAGCAATGCTTAGGATCTTAATATTGCTCTACGCATTTTTCTCGTGTTATTCAGAATAAGTCCTAGAAGGGAATCATTAACTCCCCTTCATAGATTAAAAATGTGAGGCACATTGAGCTTATGCAAAATTGTTCAAGATCTTGGAGCTAGACAGTAACATCTAGGCCCTCTGGATACAGCCAATTTGAGTGCATGTGATGCTAGTGACCAGGCTGGCTGCATTTGGTGATCTCCAAGCTAACCTCCTTACTGAAGACATATTTATGACTTCTTAAGCCACATTGACTCACGCATGCAATTTTTCCACTAATATTGATCTAAGCAAAGGTAGATAGTTTCTTGACCAAGTTCTGACTCAGGAGTAAGATTCTGTAGTTTCACGGTACAGAAGGTAGATGTGGTTTGGATATTGACCCTATGCTCAAGGAGCCTCTGTCTGTTACATCCTTTCCTTTACTCTCTTCTTTTACCAAAAAAGTTCTGTAGCCAGTGGTGGATGAAGTGACCAGGCAAAAGTAAGAATTTCTTTCCTTTCCATCAGGAGAAACTTTCTTTTTTTGGTCAGTTGTGGGGCCTGAACTCTGGGCCTGGGTGCTGTCCCTCAGCTCTTCAGCTCAAGACTAGTAGTGCTCTACCACTTGAGCCATAGCACCACTTCCAGCTTTTTCTGCTTATGTGGTGCTGAGCAATCGAACCCAGGGCCTCATGCATGCAAGGCAAGCACTCTACCACTGAGCCACCTTCCCAGTGCCATCCAGAGAAACTTTCAAGACTGCATTTTAGCAAAGGCTGAAGAAAAAGGAAGACCTGAAGATTTCTTGTTCATTGCCACTTATGACAAAGGCCTGGACAAGGTGTCATCAGTGGAATAAGTCATGCATTCGTTCAAAACTTACTGAAATGGTTGAGCCTTCAAAGTTTATGGTAGAGGGCACAATAGTTTGAATTAAAAAAAAATCAAATAAATAGTTTTTGAGTGCCTATCACAACCAAGGCATATGGTAGACACTGGAAATTCAAAGGGAAACAAGAGATGGTCTAAGCCTAGAGAAAATGCTTCTCAAAAATATGCAGCAACATGGAAATGCCAGCTGTAATATACTATGGAAAGCCCTTTGCCAGCAACGTGACCAATAAAGTAAAGAGATAGGAACACACTGTGGGGAGGTGTGTCGGGAGGAGGCTGGGCAGGAGAAGTTGGACCAGAACTGTGAAGGACAGACAGGTTTTCACACAACAGCCAGTGGGAAGACATAGCACAGACGCAGATGTATTAAGGAGAAAGGTGTCAGGAAAACGATTTCCTCGGGTTAAACTAGGGAACCATGCAATAATCATAGCAGAGCCAGTGACACAGGCAGACAGTTTATACGTAGTCTTCCTCTTCTTCTACCAAGCCTCACAAAGGAATAATAGGCAAATGCTATTATATTTGCCTCACAGATGGATGGATCTTCTCCTTTTTGTCATCTTCATTAATTGTGACAGGGGTTCCTTGTCATCCCAGCTCACCGTCTTCCAGTCGTTGCAGGAGAATCGCTTTGATGCCTTGGGTGAGTCATGGAAGCTTCTACTTTAATGTGTGGAGTCTAACCTATGGGAGTGCTACAAACCAGGAGGCATCACAGATGAGGAGCTGCACAATGTCAGGAGGATTTCTCCCCTGCCATTCATGCTATGCGTGAATAGTGGGGAGAAGGCAGTCCTAGAAATGGAGAGGAGAACAGGAGGCTGTAGAAGTCTATGGCTCCATGAAGCTCTGTCTGTGAAAACCTCTCTTTCTATGGGTATGAACCCATCCATTTCTTGTTCCCTATAACCTGGGAAGATATTAGACCTGAAGTTACTACGGTGTTTCTGTCAAACAGCAAAGAGATTCTGTATTCCTCTAAGTCACCTCAGGAAGACACGTGGTCTGGAGTTGCATTGTTTACAGGTATGGAGGAAATCATCAAAACAGAACATAAAACTAAAGACAGAAGACCCAAAGCGTAAAATGTAGCATCCACCACATTTAATGTTACGGAACAGGTGCTCAGAAGGTCTATCTTACTATAGGATGCCTGAGAACTGCTCCGTGATGACAACCCCTAAGTCAGAAATCAAGGTGTTTGGGGTTCAAGCTCCCTCCGGAGGGTCCGCAAGGCACCCTGCCACTTGAGCCATGACCCCAGACTGGACACATCATATTTGAACATTAAACATGTGGGCTTGCTACAGTAAGCCTTGGCCATTTCTGTTCCAAATTGGGAAAAAGAGGTTACAGGCAGTTCAGTAGATAGGATGATCTATGGAGAGAAGATATACAATGACTCGAGGTGTGAGGCAGACCTGGTTTGTCTGTTGAACTCCAGATATAGCTAGATGGGGCTCTAGCTTGAGGGTGCTTATGTCTAAGGGGTAAGTTGATGGAGGGCAGATGTAATAATTTCAACTAAACACTTATTGGTTATGTATTCTGTGCAAGCTCTTCTACAAATGACTTTATATATGTCTTATCTTATTAAGACTAGGGACTATTCTATGGCCATTAGACTAAAATTAGGCACTATTCTATGCCTCCTCCTCCCCCCCTTCTTCCTCTCCTCCTCTTCCTCCTCCTCCTCTTGCTCTTCCTCTTCCCCTTCCTGCTCCTCTTCCTCCTCTTCCTCCTGCTCCCCTTTCTTCTTTCTTCTCCTTTCTTTTTCTATTGTGGTACTTGGGTTTTGAACACAGACTCTCATTCTCTAGGCCATCACAAAAACATTGAATTACACCTCCAGAGCTTTTTTTTATTTTTTAAAGCTATTATATTTATTGTTGCTAATTTTTAGATAGTGTCTTGTAATTTCTTCCCAGGACTGGCTGAATCAGAATTCTTCTGACCTTTGCTTCCAATGTAGCTAGACATGTGCCACCATACCCAGCTTGTTTGTTGAGATAAGGTCTCATAAACTTTTCACTCAGGCTGATCTTGAACACTGAGCTTCTCAATATCTGCCTCCCGAGTATCTGGAACAGCAGTGAACTGCATCTATCCTTTCTACCAATTCTACAGAAGGAAGAAAGTACAGAGAACAACTTTCTGTTTCTAAATAGCTTTCTTTTCTCAAATGAGTGCTGGACTTGGAAATCACAAATAAAGCAATTTTTTCCTAAGATGGAAAAAACAATGGCATCCTATGACTTGACTATGTATTAGGAGAACAGTATCTTATGATACAGTTATACTATAAAGATTTGTTCACACTGAATTATGCACTTATGAATCCACAATTGTCAACATACATTGAAAGAACAGGGGTGTCATGATTTTGGGGTGCCAGGGTTAGATTAGGGAAGACTAGTCTGACATACTAAGCTATGCAGTGAATCATGTTGTATTGGGAAAGGAATATTTATGTTCAGCACTCTGTTATCATCTTAAAAGGCTTTGATTTATTCTAAATTCTGGTTCCCACAGTTCACTTTTAAAGTGAGTCTTTTTTTCTTCTTCAGAATGCAACACCTTTTCCCCTGTTCTGATTTCCTTTAAGATTTTGGTCTTTATTATTGGTTTTAAGAACTTTGGTTGTAATTTGTGTGTGTGTGTGTGTGTGCGTGTGTGTGTGTGCGTGTGCGTGTGTGTGTGTGTGTGTGTGTATGTGTGTGTGTGTGTGTGTGTGTGTGTGTGTGTGTGGTGGGGAAGGAGCTCCAACTATCTGTGTATTATGTTGCTTGAAATTGTTCTTGATAGTATTTTATACTAAATTCCAGCTTTGTTTGGGATTTTTCCATTGTTATGTTGTTGATTTCACTACCTTTGTTCTAAGCTTTTACTTTCTTCCCTGTGTAGTTTTATTGCCCAACACACTCAGATATTCAGTATATGTCTCCCATGGCCCTAAAGTTTGGAATATATAGAGTATTTAAAATAAATGTTTTATTGTCCATATTTGGTAATTATAACGTACAGTGCCAGTCCTGCCTGATGGTTATAACTTTATCCCCTCACCATACTGTCATGTTTTCCTACTTGCAATGTCTGGTAATCTTTGAGTGGGTTGCTGGTTACTGTAAATTGAGCTTGAGTAAAGTCTGGATTTTTAATAGCCTTATAAATATTCTTGAAGTTTGGTGTGGTACACAACCAAACTGTATGGAAACAGCTTGATCTTTTTGGTCCTTTAAATTTGTAATTTTTAGGAAAGAACTAGGTCAGGATATATGATCAAGGAATACCTATGGCTCCGGCAAGACTCCTTCTGATTGCCGAGTGTCCCATGACTTTCAATGTTTCTTCCGTTTAGCTTGTGGGGATTTCAAGCCTTGTGTCTCCCAGGCACTGATTTTCAGGGGAGTCTTTTCCTAGCATCAGTTTGTTTCCATGCGGATTTGCAACAATTGGACCTTCGGCAAATCTCTGAGTTTATTTTTATACGTCTTTCCTTTCTAGTAGTATGATCTATAGACTCCAGCCTCTCTTGGCCTCCCTGGACTCTCAGATGACTATTTCCAAATGAAGACATCATTTGGGAAGTCCTTAGGAAGTCTTTGTTTGGAATGTTGGGTTTCCCTTCCAGATGTGATGTGAAACCCTTGCAAAACCAACAGTGGAGTTCAGGCAACCCCAGGGCCCACTTCGCTTGCTTCCTGTCTCTCAGGGTTCCCTGGCTTTCATTGCTGGATGTGCCTGACTTTCCACTGAGCCTTCTGGGAACATCCAAGTGAAAAAGAAGAAGATACTCTGGGTTTACAGCTGTGTGATCTGTGTTCATGTCATGAACTGGTGTCTTCTTCCTCTGGAATGCTTCTCTAGTCATAGTTGGAATTCGGCTTCTTTTCTCATTTCCTGAATCTTCACTCTTTTCCAGAAAATGACAGACTTCTGGTTCAGAATTCAATTACCCTTTACAGTACCTAGTCTAACATCTCCTGTTTCTACCATATCGTCCAATTTAATGATGTGGTCTTGGATGGGGCATGGTTTCTCATCCTTTAAGGCGGAAACATTGTGTCCACGGCTGAGGAAACCATGGTTCAGAAAGACGGGATGATTCTTCTGGGGGACACACACTATTGAGTACAGAGGTTCCTTTTTCAGGGTGGCAAATAGATATTTAGACCCAGAAACACAGTTATAAATAGCGGGCTGGTAAAGGGTTTGTCAAGTGAGGTAGTTGTATTAGCTGGTGAATTTATTGTGTGGCCTCAGCATTCTGACCCTTGAACAAGATGGCACTATGGAAGAAAATGTTAAAATTCGATCTCGTATTTGTGTGATCTCACTTTAACGTTATTTCTCTTTTTGAGTATGTTTATGTATAACATATACTGACGATGTATGCATGGAATTATATGATTGGAAATAATAATTCAGTCATGGCTTATAGTTTTTGTACCAGATGTGACCCTAAATAATTTAAGGAATTAATTCTTTTAACACTGAAACAATTCAATAGTGGATTTATGGATAAAGAAAGTGAGGCTCAGAAACAAAGTAGTGTAATCAAAGATTAGCCACTGCTTTAAGACTGACACATCTGTAAGTGCTTTGTCCTGGGATTAGAGTCTCAGCTGTGGGGCCAAGGGTGCACAGTGTTGAGTTAGAGTACATGAGGAAACAGACTGATAGTCAAGTTGATCTACTTCATTACAGATGCATGCTACAAACTAGGTACTTATACTAGGTACATCTAGGCAGGCAGCGTGAAAATGTAGGCATTCGTTTTCCCAGTTTACAGATGAGGAAACTGAGTTTCAGGGAGAATAAGAACTGGCTTGGTTGGAAATAAAATCTGTTCTTTCCTAGCTCTGACCATCTAAGTCTTAACCTACTTATTTTCATCTCAAATTAGGACATTCTCCATGCCCTCCAAACCACGGAGTTAGTAGGAAGCTGGAATCCCACAGAGTCCTCTACATCGAAAAGGAAGTCCCAGTTCACATGGTCTATGCCATTGGACCCTATATATCCGTAGGAAAGGTCTAATTCCTCCTCCGGAGACTGGGGACAAGAATAAGGCAGAAATGGTTTGAAATATAGTAGTAAGTCATAATAACTCTGTCAGAAGGACAAGGAAGGAAGGACAGAAAGCTATGAGGAAGAAAGGAAGTCAGGCAGGAGTGAAACTGAATGCCCTAAGCAAGTTACTTTCTAAGTCCCCTGTCATGTTTTGTAATGTGGACATAGTCCTGCTTTGTACATATATAGAAGATTTAATAATGCTTTTCTCTTCAAGCAGATGCTCTATTCACATAGGCAAAGGGAGAAGAGACAGTCTCTTTTTTTTTCAAAATCTCCACAGACCAATTCTCAGGCCTAGGAGAGACTATACATTCTTTTTTGTTGTTGTTGTGAGAATACTGTACATAGGAGTTACAATTACATGGGCAAGATAATGAGTACATTTCCTGTCAAGCATTGCTACACATTCTTTTCTCCTTGCAGATGATGGAGCTCTTTCTCACAGCAGCAGTCTTTAGAGAAAGAATAAGTCTATCTAGACTTCTCAGGGCACTGAGACCTGTCATTGTTCTTCCTGATCCAAACACAACCATACAATATAAAGACTCTCAAAGACCCTGAGATAGATCAGTGGTTCTCAAACTAAGAAAGGGTCAGAAATGTGTTGTGATGACAGGTAAGGTCTCTTGACCCACCCAGTGGTGTACTGGGCACTCTTCCTACAACTTTGATTTGTTTACTTGTGATTTTTCTGCCTTTGTGACTTTCCTTTCCTTTCTTTTCCTTTCCTTTCCTTTCTTTTCCTTTCCTTCCCTTTCCCTTTCCCTTCTCCTTTTAATACAGCAAATACTGCTTCAGCAACAACTTTGCCTGATTGATCGAGAATCTGTCACATTCTGCTGAAAATTTTGCAGGCAGTCTAGGAATATTTCCTCCTAATGGGGGAAGAAGAGATAAGGGAAAGAGATATAGAAAAGGAGTAGAAGAAAGAAGGAATTAACAGGGAAAAGGCAGATATGGGAACGATGCAGAAGAGGGAGTAGGAGAGGGAGTAGGGAAAGAGGAAAATATGTAAAGGGAAAAGGAAAGGGATTAAAGGGGAGGAGGAAGAAGAAGGAAAAACAGAAGAAAGAAAAGGGCTTCTGGGGGCATTCCTGTGGCGCTTCAGCCAGTCCTGTACAGTGGACTAGAGGAGTTAGCTATGTTCAACTCTCGTGAAGGGGAGCTTGTAAATAAATACCTCTGGGTAGGAGCAGATATCTGTAAACACAGCTGAGGAATTGAAAGTCAGGTTCTTCAAGGGTATCGACTTGTCAAAATCACACCACAGCTGCGGATTAAAAAAAAAAGAACAACAACAAAAAACAAAAAGACACAGGAACAACAAAGTCAGTGTGAGTGCTGGAAATGGAGCAGTGTGCTTTCAGCTGTGGGGCTTCTACAGAAGCCTGGGGTAGAAGCTCTGGGGGGGTCTCTTCAGAATAGAGGTACCAGCTCTGATTGCCTCTTTTATTTAAAATAACAAGTGCTGGTTCAGAAAAGGCTTTTTGTAAGCTAGTCACGAAACCAGGCTAAGACTGCTGTGTTCACTCATCGCTTAGGGTCACTGAAGTGCATTGTGGGACTCAGAAGAGAGGAGTTGGATGTTGGGAGAAGAGGTTTGGGGTAAGCTCACAGCCTGTCTCCAGATCAATAGCTGGGAGGAGTGAGCGATTGGAATGGACACGTTTTCCAGAAAGACTTTTAGCACAGGGTGGTGCACACTTCCTGGGACAGATGTTGCTGCTGGAAATTTCTTGGTACTCAGAAAAAAATAAAAAAAGGTCTACCATGGGCTGAATGCCTCCTCTGTGCCAGACACTGTACCATCACCTGGGAATGTAGCTATGATTTTAATCCCCATTTTACAACTGGAAAATAGGAAACTCTGAGAAGTAAAGTAACTTGTCCAGGATCACCGTGCTGGTGACTGTCGGAGCTGAGATTTGAACACCAGTCTATCTGACTCCAAAGTCTCTAATCTCCCTGCCATGTAGTGACCCTGTCCAAGAGTCACTGATCATCTTTCCAAACCCTGAAAACCAAGAATATCTGCCTCATGATCAAGACTTGAGATCCTGTCCACCAACTCCTCAGCCTGAAACCAGGAATCTTACATTCTCCTATTGCAATCGCCATGATGGATAAAATGTTCCTAGGATGGTGAGTTTTGTGAGGTGATGGTTTTCCTTTTTCTTTATGTCACTTACTCCTTCCCTACCAGGATAGGCACTGAGCTTACTCACTAAGTAAGGTATCTGTATCCCTAATTTGGACTGGAAGTCTCCAAACCACAGGTCCCAAACTGTGGGAACTGTCTGCTTTGGTGATTGAATAGTCAAGGATGTTCCAATGATGGGTTCAACCACAAGACAATGCCTCAACTAGCCTGTCTTAGCACATCAAGTTTAAGACCTGGAATCGGGAAAAACATCTCTAAAACCTCACTACCTGAGTCACAGACAATACAATTTGTATACACATAGAAAATGCCTATCACTACTATAATGCAATTCTAGAGAGAACACAGAATTAAAAATATGGATCACCAAATGAAAAACAATGAAGAGTACGATGGCAGGAGGAATTCCATCTGGGTTCTTTGTGTCACATCAAATACAAATCCTTAGAGAATCATAGGCAAGATACTCATCTTTCCTGAAATTCAGTTTCCCTTCCCCCTCACACGGGGACAAAAATACCTACCTGTTTCGTACAGTAGGCGCTCAGGAAATGGCAGCTATTTCCCATTTCTCCATCGCCATCCCCTCTCCCAGTGATACATTTTTAACATGTTAGAATGAGCATGGGGCATGGAGTCAGACAGATCTTATTAGCAAGTTATTTCATGTCTCTGAGCCTCAGTTTCCTCAGCCATAAAGTGGGGATAAATGAGACTTACCTCACTGGATGTATGTGAGGATTAAGTACAAAAAATATGCACTAATATCCCTTAGTGCATGGCACATAGCAGGTTGATATTGGCACTTAAAAACTAAAGAGTAAGTCTTATTTACTGTTATAATTGATTGATAACTGGCCATATAGAACGGGGTGGTGGGCAGAGCTGTTACAGCTCTTTTGGAGCAAATAATCTTCCCTTCTGGGAAAGACAGCTTTCTAACAATAACAATCCCACAGTTCTGACAGCAGCTACAGTTTTTAACTTGGTCCTTAGGCTTGGGGCTGGACTGGCACACTGAGGTAAAATACCAAGGAAAGGCAATGCAAGCAGATGCAGGATTGAGAAACTCTTACTTTCTAATTTCCCACTAGACACTGGAGGGCTGGAGGGTTAGAGATGCTTACGATATTTAGGACAGCACCCAGAAAATTAATCAGGATGGATGCGAAGATGATGACATTCCGGGCCAAGTAGGTTTCATTAATCCAACAGCAAGTCTTCCGAAGGATGAGGGGCAGACACTTGTAATCCTCAGCTGTGGTGATGAGGACCAGAGCTGAATGCAGCATAATTAGGATGGAAAACTGAATGGTCATGGGCATCACTCTGCAGGAAATACAGAAAATAGGGTTAGGAGGTAATCACTGAACACCATTTGCTGAACAGCCGAGGAGTCACGATGATGATACTGATGTTCTACCCAGTGCACCTGATAACTCTTCTCAAGTTCTGCCTGGCTGGGAAAGCGGCTATTCACAGGAGATATACATGGATTTATTGCATCCATCTCTAGAATTCTCTACTGTGAAACTCTACAAGAGGCATGAGACATTTGACTTGGTTTATTGTGCCTATCCATTTCCCCCTTTCATCTTTTATCATTTCCTATTCTCACCAGGAAACTGCTATCCATGGGATTTTGACTTATGTTTATCTTAAAAAAATTCTTTTTCTTCATTGAAAAATTTTTGTTATTACAAGGATGATGTGCAGAGGGGTTTCAGTTACATAAGCCAGGTGGGGTGGTGGTGGTGGGTGGGGAGTGTAGTTGTAGAAGTGGAAGGGAAGGGATGGTAGGGGAAAAACAAAGGAGGAGGCAACAATGCTTTATGATAAGACATATACTCATTACCTTGCTCATGTAACTGTAACCCCTCTGCACAGTATTTTCACAATAAAAAACATAAAAAAAGAGTACGTTTCTTTTTGGACAATGACACCCCTTCCCTTCCTTGCTCTCTTGAAGTTTTCCCCTCCCATCCCCATCCACAAGTTGTATAGTTCATTTTCAACATAGCGTCCAGTGAGTACCACTGCTGCATTTGTTCACCCTTTGTTCCTCCATTTCTGTGACCCCACTTAGCCTCCCAAGACATATAAATGAATAAACAGGACAAAAAGAAAACAAACTCAAACAGCAAAAATGAAAGGAAAAAAACCCTCTTTTTTTCATTTCCTGGAGCTTCTCTTGATAAATATTATTCTGTACGACCAGCTGCCCAGAGGCATTATGCCTTTCTGTTTTCATTATATCTTAATACCAATGTTATCCTAATACCTTGGCAATAGGAGGAATCACATATCCTTCCCACTTCCAGGTGGGTTTATGAAACTTTCCCTCCATCTATTCTGACATCAAGAGCTAAAGTTGACATTAGTTCCAAGTCTCTCAGTTGAGTTAGTGATTACAATGGTTTGCGTGAGACATACAATATGCTAGCTGAGATGTGAATAAAGAACTCTTTTCTGTCCAAGGCTCCACCAGCCCTCCTAGTCTGCACCCTTAGCTTCCAGAATTTTTACAGCTCCAGCCCGCAAAAGCCTATCTAATGGACAGCTCTGCTGAGTGTCAAGATGTTTCTAGCAATTTTGGGTTATGAAACTCCTTCTCTGGAGTAGTACATGATTGCGTCCTCTCCTAATGAACCAATTATTCACCAGGCATATGGATTCTCCTTCATCCACTCTTTTGCATCCAACTACCCACGTTCAACACTGGCACCTTTAACTTTCCATCGGTATTTCATCCAGTAAATTTCTGTACGTAATAGAGTTGGCCATAGAATTTCTCTCCTGTCCTTCTCCAAATTGAAGTCTACCTATCTGACTTCCAATATATTCCATTTATTTGTTGTTAATATAGCTTTAGCGAATGAAATTAGACTCATTTTTTCTTATAACAAACCTATGGTATTATAACAAACATGGTATTTCTGGAACTTTCTTGTTTATTATTAATGACATGAGTGTACCTTATGCATTGAGTTCTGACTATATGCTTGGTGTTATGATTAGCATTTTAACCATAATACTTAGTTTGTTACTCAGAATGATCCTAAGAGGAATTTTGATCTATTTTCCCCAGTGAACATTGGAGGCTTTCCTGGTGAGTGGCAAAGCCAGAAATGAAGCTCACCACGCTATAATGCTCTGCTTTTCTAATCATTTAGCTAAATACCATACTTGAATATTATCAGTACTCTCTTCTATGCTTTTGCAGTTTCATCACTCAGTTTATTCATTCAATAAGTTTTCTTCTCAGGCACAAGGTAGGCACTGTGGTACCAGGGTCAAAGATAAACCTTCCTTATCTTCTTATATTCCTTATTCAAAGGGGAATGAAGACATATAAATGATGAACTAATATGTAATACACAAGTAACCCATAAAGAGTTATGAATAGCCATGATTTGGAAAACAGGAAAAGGACTCAAGGGAGGCATAATGAAGGAGATGATGTTTAGCACAGTCCTAGTAGGCTAGAGAGAGTAATTTTAATGTACAGATGAATGGAGAGTATGATCAAAGCATCTAAAGAATGATGATGACGGGCTGCATTTATTTTCTCTTTTTTATGAACATCTGTTAGTTGTACAAAGAAGTTACATCATGATGTTTCATTCATGTATGCTATGTGTCTTGATTGATCAAATTACCACTTCTATTATTCTTTCCTATATCCATCCCTCCTAACAGTTATGGCCATGTAGCAGTTTGAAAGTCTGCCAAGCACCTTTCCCAGATTTATTTTTTCCTCACACTTGGAAACAAGACACTGTTGTTCTTCATGGCTGCTTCATGTTATTGAGACACATCAGACTTGGAACAGACTCCTCTCATGGCACTGTCTGACAAAGTGGCCCATCTGCATTCTTCTCCACTGGCGAATGAGCCTCCCTTGGGTACCAAGGAGTAATGGGTCCTGGGAGTGTTTTTCTAGCCTGTGTGGGCAGGCAAACCCATCTGCCTAGAGCCTCGGGGATCTCACTGCTGCACAAACCTTCTGCGCTGATCTACAACTCCTGCAGAGATTTCTGGTCAAGGTGATCTCTAAAATAAAAACTGTGCAAGTATTAAAGAAACACACACACACACACACACACACACACACACACAGAGTAGCTAGAACTATTGGAGGAGTCTTCCTATCATTTTACCATTGGGGGAACTTTACAATCTTGGTTACTCCCGGACTGCAAATTTCCTCATCATCCCTTCCCTTCCCCCATTGCAAAGATGCCAGACGCTCTTGCTCTTCAGCTTATCTGATCACATTTTCTAAATTTTCTTTGTTGTTTTTGCTTTGGTTAGCCCAAATATAGCCTTGAGTCTTCTTGTTTCTTGCTGTATACATCCTTATTGGACAAGTTATTCCTAAATCCTCAAATACCATCTATCTGCTCCAGCCTCACAGTTCTATAATTTTCCTTCAGACTGAGCAGATACTTAGCTATCTCCAACAAGGTAATCCACAAGCGCCAGCTGAACTGCCCCTTGTATGGGCTAAAAATGGCAGCTCTTGTCTCTCCCTTCTCCCCTTGTTCTCCCCCTGCTCTGTGCCTTACATGCCAATAGACATGTCTTCTGCCCCCAAAGTTGTGCTACTTCTGTTTCTGTGAGTACTTCTTTTGGGGGGAATTTCCTGTTCATCTTTTAGGGCTCACATTTTTTGGGGGGAGGTTCTTCCATAGCATCTTGAATATGGCTGAGAAGATTTTTCTTTTCCTTGTGGCACTGAGGATTGAACCCAGGGCCTTAAGCATGTACTCTACCATTTAGCTACATCTTTAGCCCGTGGAATAGAGCCGTGTTCACAGAAAGTGCTCAAGTGAATATTCACTCATGTAGTCTTTCTGTACAGAAGGAAGACACTGTGATTCCTTTCCCCTGCCAGCCTAGGAAGGAGAACTACCAACTCTTAGACTCTCCACACTGGCTAGCCTTCCCCAAGGAGGGGAAGGGCTGATGCAGTTATCTTGGCTCTGGAGAGTGTGTCTTGTGTGCTGATCTATTCCAGCATCACAGCAGTGAGATAGGTCTCAAGGTAAGCAAAGACTCAAGAGAATCAAGATGGAGACCATGTCTTCTCTTGACTGTAGTAGCTACATTCTGTATTCTGCCTTTAGCCACAGCTTTACGTGGGCATTTGTTTAGAAATCTATAAAATCAGTGCTCTGTCCTCCATTTCCATCTTGGGTTTTTACAGATGCTCTGGAGGGGGAGGGAAGATATCTGAGTATGTTGAAGGTTGCATGTGATAATTTGCATTCAGAACTCCCTTGACTCCTGATGTAATTCTAAATGACTTCTTTCCAGAAGCAATAAAAATTAGAAAGAGAAGTGAGAGATAGGCGATGCAATCCAGTGTTAAAACCAAAGCCTTGTAGAAAGTAATTTATTAGTCTGAGCATTGTTTTTAACTATAAAACTGGGATTTGGGGGGGTCTGATTTTTGAAGGAGGAATCTCTGTTAAATAAAGTAATAAGTTAGCATAATGAGAAATCAAAGACATGTTAGTTCTCTTTCTCTAGTCATGATAATATTGAACTGACCAAAGACAGAAAAAACTATGGAAAAAACATGTGATACTTAGATTTGAACTTGACTTATGTTGCTAAACATGATGATTTTGAGGTTAATCCATTTCCTGCAAATGATGTGTCATTTTTATTTATGGCTGAGTAATAATTCATTGTGTGTGTGTATACATACAAGTATACATATACCATATTTTCTTTTCCACTGATCAATTTTTGTGTACTTTGGTTGATTCAATAGCTTGACATTATGAACAGTGCTATAATAAACATAGCTGTGTAGTTATCTTTTTCACATATTGATGGATGCTACTTCAGATATAGATGCCCAATAGTGGTACAGTGGAGTCATAAGAAAGGTCTATTTTTAGTTTTTGAGGAAGCTCTATACTGATTTCCATAGTGGCTGCACTAGTTTACAAGCCCACCAGAACTGTGTAAGAATCCCTTTTTCTACATTCCTGCCAGCATTTGTGTGATGATTACGATGCTGACTTTGGTGAGATGAAATCTTAGTGTAGTTTTGAACTATATGTCTTTTATGGGTAAGGATGTTGAACATTTCTTCATCTACTTATTAGCTAGCTATATAAATCACATTTTAATGTATGCTAATCCAATTTTTTTAAAAAAACTCAATGAGATTAGTATTAATTGCAAAATAGGCTATCCATGCAAGGTTCTTGAACTCTGTACAAATTCCTCTGGAGATTACTGCAGTAGGTCCTCAGTATTCATTTATTTCTGCACATATAAACATTACAATATTGGATTGTAAATTTCATCTAATTATAGAGCTATTTGGGCAACCAGGGCTGTTAAATTTGCTTCTGCCTTGTTGGTGTGCATAAAAACGAGGAAATCTTTCATTTTTGGAATTGTGTCTCAAGAAGAATGACAAAGGATTTGCAAACAGCTCTTTGCCAATTACTTGTAGACATTAAGTCTTAATTATTCTCTGTGGCATATCTTTGGGCTAATATCACAAGACATTTGCTGTGGGGGCAGGGATCAGTGTAGCCTAGAAAACAGCGTATAGCAGCATGTTCCACAGGGAACAGGAACTCAGATCATACCAAATGAAGACATTTGGATGACACTTTAGAATCTGTGAAGAGCCTGTGAGCAGTTTTGCATTTGATCTTGGTAGCAATTGTGAATGGCAGATATTCTTAGCTATTTCAACAGATGAAAATGAAACAGTTTATGAAGAAAGGAACTGAAAGATGCCCCAAATGGCCAACTTGTTGATTTAAGTCCTCTTGTACTCCTGAGATGTGGGCATTATAATTCCTGTTTTACAGATAAGGAAACTGAGGCTTCCTAGAGGTAAAATGCATGTACACAGCTAGTAAGATGCACAGAAAGCATTCAGCCCATTGGTCTCTTTCTTTTCTTTCTGTCTTCCCTCTTTTAAATGCTTTTTCCTCTCCTTCTTTCCCTTTCCCTTTTCCCTCCATTACAGTCTGTCTCTGTGCCTGCAGGTTAAGATTCATAGTTCTGTAAAAAGATACCTTTTTGCCTTCCCTTAGTCTACCCATCTGGAATAGAAAGAAAGGCAGCTGCCATTGTTTAACTTTGCCAGGGTACATGCAGTTCTGTCTCAGGGACTGGGAATTAACTGTGATCATGTAAGTAGAGATTACTTCATGTGTCAAAAAAAAATCCATGACAGAAGACACGTGAGGGAAAGGCACCTGCCATCCGTTTAGTTGCAATGCCTCACTCAGCAACAAAATGATTTGGAGAGAAAACCATCTTAAACATACTAAAGAAAGTTGTTGTATCCAGAACACATGGTGGCTTTGTGCTAACAAAATGGAAATTTTCTGTTAAACTTTGCAGTTTCTGTCATGGCCAAGTTAAGTGAGGTTTGAGTGCTTGCTCAATTGGAGTTCTGGACAGAAATCCAGGGCTAGAGTCTCCTATCATGCTAGGTAAGGTCCCAGTTCTCTTCTCCTTGAATCCAGCAATCAGAACATGGAGCCTGATTCTCTTTCTCCGTTTGTATCACATGCAAAGGGAATCTCAGCAGGTGAGGTAGGAAGTGTGATGCTCACTTCCCTAGATGACAGTGACCTCTTCTACCAAGTCAACATCCTCAAGGGTATGCAGCTGTTCCTCATCCCCACATCTAACCCATCACCAGGAACTCTCACCTTGCTGCCTACTACCTAACCTGTCTCTTCTCTTGTCTATTTCACAGCCAATTTCTGATCCTCAGCATTTCTTGCTTAGAGCTTTGCAACTCCAGACCTCCTCATTTCCATGTTGTGTGTGCAGAAATCAAATCACATTGCTTCTTTGGTTAAAATGCTTCAGGAAAGTGCCCTGTGCCAACCCTCAGCCATTTCTTAACAAGGCTTATATACTGTTCTTATCCAGAACACTATTTCTCATTCTTTCTTCCTTCAGCTCTTCTCAGTCCTTTCCATGACTTGCTAGATCCTTTTGGAGTATTGAGTTGTCCCTGTCACCTCTTTTGGGAATGTTGGCTCAACCTCCAGCCTCCTTACCCCACTTTACATCTTACCCCATTTAAACTTTCTCGATCACAGTCGTCACAACTCAGAGCTGTTAATTGTTCTGCATATATATATGGCCTAATTAGTTACTCTAACAAAGTATTTGTTTTGGGAAAACCACACAATTAGGAAGTGGTGCTGTAGCTCAAGTGGTAGAGCGCTCTCCTTGAGCTGAAGAGCTGAGGGACAGTGCCCAAGCCCAGAGTTCAAGCCCCATGACTGACAAAACACACACACAAAGACACACAGACATACAGACACACACACACACACACAATTACTGAAGTAGATAAGAGAAACAGCAAAAGCCCTGTCTCAAACACAATCTTTTTTCTCAACCCCATTAACCACCATTTTCCTTAGAGTTTTGGAATCTATTTGTGGATATTCTGATTTCACTGATCTTTGTTTGGTCCAATTTAATTTGCCTTTTATATCTTAAAATTCCTTTTTCTCTTTATCCCTTCATTTCACTTCTACTTTATTTAGTGAAGACCAGCTGTCTTTGAAGTGCAACATTTTCTACTCTCTGGGTGCTACTGTTGCATGCTCATCTTCTGAGCCTGGCAATTCCTATAAACTGATCAACTTAGGTTTTCTCCTTTGGGTAAGACCATGAAAGACTACAGTCTTTCATCAGGAAGTATAGTGGTCTCTTCCTTTTGTGATGATGCCACTTCTTGATTCTCAATTCCTAGATACATTAATTGATTAGTGGTTGGGAAATGATACTTTAATGCTATCATTTATTAAAACATTTTAACGTGGAATGATTTTGATAAGATTTCCCTTCTCTTATTGTTCAGTGACCCTGTGAAATAGTTCATATGAAAAAAGAAGACAAAACTTTGTTTCTCACTTTTTCCTGCTTCTAAGATAATCAACAAAGTACCTACTATTTACCAAAGAGGATGACACAGATCATGATGCACTGTATTCATAAACTGGTTTGTTAAATAGCAAAAATTTCAATGCATATCCTACACAACTAAGAAAAGTGAAGGAAGGGGTGTGTTAGGGTGGGTGGGAATGTGGAAAGGGGTGACATTCATCAAGAGGCACTGCATTCATAAACTGCTCTGTGGAATGGCAACTCGTCTGCACAGCTACTTAAAGGTAATAAAAATATTTTAAAATGCATATTAAATTCATGTAATTCAATATATTTGCAAGACTTTGGTTGTGTTTTAAAATGATTATCCATATAAAAGCATGGATCATCCCATCTTTGGACACCAGGACCTTCACCAATGCCTTCTGGAGTTCTTGTCAATATGATTCTAGTAGTGCTTGATGGTCTATTTTTGTTTTCTTGTAGGACAAGATGTTACAGGCTTCATTAGTCTGTGTTCTCCAGAAGAACAGAACCAGTAGCATATATGTAATTATAAGTGATTTGTTAGACTGTCCACAGGCTCAGGAGTAGGGGAAACCATAGCCACTCTGTCCAAGAAGTTGGAGGATTCAGAACAGAAGGGACCCAAGATGTAGTCCCAGTCCAGGTCTGAAGTCCTGGAAACTGTTTGGAGCATGGTGGGAGTCTATGTTCACAGACCAGAGCATCTGGAGTCTGACATGGACAGTAGCAGCAGTGAAAACGTGGCTGCTGTTATACCTTGGATCACTGTCCTATTTTGGGATTCTGCTTGCACTCAGGGCAGCAAACTTCTCCACTCAGCTGATACCCCATTTACTGACTGTCTCTGGAAATTCCTCTCACTGACACACTCAGGAAAATGCTTCACCAGTTTTGCATGGAGTTCTCTCAATCCAGTCAGACTGACAACTAAGATTAACCATTCATTCTAAGACTCATCTTGTCTGGCTCCTACTCCAACCCTGATTAGAAACCCTGTCTCTGAAGCTAGATTTTCTTTCATTCTGAGTTTGAATCCAAGCTGTGATAGTCTTCAACAGCAAGACCTTGGGCAATTTATTTCACGACTCTGAGCCTTATTTCCCTCCTCTTTCTAGTGAGGACCAGCCTAACATCCACCTCAGAGGTTGCCATGGAGATTTCTTTCTTGAGTTATCGTAGCTTAAGTATTGGGGAGTAAAGTATTGGGTAGTATTTTCGAGATGGCCATTTTACTGACCTATTGAAGCTAGGATATTTCACTTATAAATAACTCATAAGGAAAAGCAAACAAGTAAATGCTCACTAAAGCCTTTAGTCATTTTCTGCATTTTGGGTGTGATATCCAATAAAATGGCTTAATTGGATTTTGGTTGTTTTTTATTAAGATTGGGGAAAAGGTTCTTGCCTTGGCAGAGCAGTTAGAGTTCTCATAGAGTAGGGCAATCAAAACAGATATTAAGTCGTTCAGACATCCTGGGTCCAATCATTTTAAATTCTGATTCATTCAAAAGGGCAAATGTCTAGGTCCAGGTGAGGGGTCATTCTCACACTGAGCCATTCACCCAGTAACTGGGTCCCTTCATATTTACCTTGAGGAAGGAAGCAAACTTTGTATTGCTGTGATAAATAGAAGAACGATGAATGCGCAGACCAAGTTTGACTTGAATACTTCATCCCTCATTTGAGAGTACTGCAGTTAAAAAAAAAAAAAGAAAGAAGAAATAGGAATTACTTCACAGAAGAGTTCAGCTTTTGGAAGAGTTTAGTTTTAGCACTGTTCAAGATAGGAGGAAACAGTAAGAAGAAACAAGACCATTAAATCTTTCTAAAAAATTTAAGAGGAATCCATCTAAAGCTTCATAAAATCTTCATGAAGTGCTAACTCCATCTCTTCTGCCAACTTTCCAGTTAGAGCTTGTGAGTAAACACAACTCCCTCTATTGGCCAGGGTCTGGGAGGGGACTTCACATGAGGTAATCTAACTGCCCCTTCCCTGTGAAGCACCATCGTTTTATCAGAACAGAAGATCATATATATATGTAGTAAATCAAATTCATATGGATTTTCTTCCTGACTAAACTTAATTAAGGCCCTCTGATTCTTATCAGACTTGGGGACAGGGGAATTGTTTTAATAGGGAGTCTCTCTCTCTCTCTCTCTCTCTCTCATACACACACACACACACACACACACACACACACACACACACACACACACACACACACACATCATTGAAAATAAACTCACAAATCTTAGCCTAGAATGTAGCCTATGAGATTTCCTTTCACAGCCTAAATCAAGCTTTCATCTCACAGAAGAGACTCCAAGATGGAAAGGTCAATATGTCTGCTGCTCTCCTGTTGTGTGCTCGAAGCAGCCCTGGGGAGTGGTGGTGTCTTTATTTTGATGACTCAAGGTACTCAGTAATTTCATTCTCTCATTTAAGAAGCTTCTGGAAGGTTGGCATTGAATATGTACTTGCCGCACTCTTGTCTGCTCTCTCAAACCATCATGGCAACACTAAGCTGAGGAATGATTTACTTTCAGAGAGAGGGATTTATAAATGCAATTATGTCTTTGAACAAAAGACACTAGAACTAGCCTAAACCAGGCATCTCATTGCACCCGAATGCCAGGGAGGGAGCGTAACTTATTACAGATCACACAGTATGCAAATCATTTTATTTTGGGGCTTGGGAGGAGATAGAAAACTAAACCTGCCAAGAGAGCTTTGTGAATTCAGCTTTGAATTTCAGCATGACTTTTCCCAGAAAGCTGACAAACAGCCCTCCTACAGTCTCATGGGATCTATATCCAATAGTTCAGGGCTAAGATTTCATTCAGGTCATTAAAATAATAAAAACAAGCTAGCTTGTTAGGGGATTTGCAGTAACAGTTGCAGGATTTTTCCTCTTCCAGTGTTCTGTGTGTGGGCCAGGTTTAGGCTGAACCGTGGTGTTCAGAGTCACAGCTAAGGTTTGGGGAATGACAGGAACTGGTGGCTGCAGGGATAAAGCTCTATGCCACACTGGGGCCACACATGTGCAGTTCTTACAAGGCAATGCTTTTGCCAAGCTCACTGCAGTACTGACACTTCTGGTCAGTCATTGACAACCTGCTTAGTGTCTGGGAGAATGCATGAAATAGCCCTGAAGAATCTCCTTAGGTCAGCCTCACTCCTGATAAAGACAAAGAGAACTCCATGCCACTGGTCCTCATCTACAGTGCCACCCAAGAACAGGGCACATGTCTAGACACAGCTGACTGATTGGACATAAATTCCTGAGTTACAAAGTAGTTAAGTCTTTCAATAAATTTTCTATATTTATTAAAATAGCATTTAATTAATTGTACCTAGGATGATATCTTTTGAATCAGCCTTTTCTTTCTTTCTTTTTTTTTTTTGAGACAGGGTCTTACTAACTTGGCTCAGGGTTGCCCTTGAATTTGTAATCCTCCTACCTTTGTTTCCTGAGCAGCTGCGATTACAGGCTTGAACTACCATGTCCAGTTTGATGTTGAGATGTTAAATATACCAATTGTAAGTTTGGTGTATTAGTCTTTCTCTCCCTTTTTTATTGTCATCATTATTCCCATCATCCTCACAGATCAATGGAGTTGTAATGTATGCCACCTTCTTAGTCCTAGAATAATTTCCATTACATCATTAATGTCTATTCAGATGATTGCTAATAATCCTCAAATGACCTCTGCTTTGTCTCACCCTCAACTTAAAACACTCCCAGTTGCCTAACCATGAGGGCTCAGTCTTTTCATGAAATTCCTTTTTATTACTGGCTTTCTTTCACTGGGAAAATACCATTTATTATACATGTCAAGCCCGAGTCTCTGTGACTCCTTGCCCAAATGTTTCTTACTGATGCCTCAAAATAACCGATAATCATCATCTATCCAGACTAAGTTTGCAGACATTCCATTTCTCATTTTCTTCAGAGAGCAAGCTGGTGGAGGCAGTAGAAGGACTCCCTCTGCTTCCAGCTCGGTTAGGATTTCCTTGTGAAGAGAATAAATGTCTTCCAAACTCACTCCTCTTCTCTGAATACTGGGTTTCAGCACAGGGGGCATGGTTACTTTGAAACACTGGGAGAGGAGTCCTGTGAAAATTCCTAATTGATTCAGGATGATTAGAGCTCCAAGCCTAAGAAAGTGATTCCTTTAGCTTCTCTTTGACTTGGTCTTCAAAGCTAGATAAGTTAGTTGTACACATGATCCTGCTGCAGTTATGCATGCCTCATCTCCCTCTCTTCAGTCCTCACCTGGCTCCACCTGTGGTCTTGCCTATAGGTTTTAGCTGTCACCATTATCTGAATTTGCATCTCAGCCTCAACACCTACAACATATACCACCATGGACAAGTTTCCATGTCTCAGTCTTCTCTGTCTCCATAGAAGTTGTTAGCAGGATAAAATGAGTTAATAGAGAAGCAAGGGAAGGGGTGACATTGTCCAAAAAGAAATGCACTCATTACCTGACTTATGTAACTGTAACTCCTCTGTACATCTCCTTTATAATAACAATAAAAATTTAAAAAAGAGTTCATATTTGCAAAGTGCTTGCAGCAGTGTCTCACTTAATGCCACTGTAAAAGTACTTCCTAGAAACACACAACGATTTCATTCATTCTGTTTCATTGCTAAGTACTTTCACCTTTGTGGACCATGGTCAACTGTTATCTGAGTTGTCCTTTGCATCTCTAGTGTTGCCTTCTAGAATGGTGCTCTCTATCCTTCCGTAAAAACCTGTGTCTCATGCTCGATGGACTAACTGGTACACACTGCATGTTTATAAGGATTCTTCAAGGGCTGGGAAGGTGGCTCAGTAGTAGAGCGCTTGCCTTGCATGCCTGAGGCCCTGGGTTCGATTCCTTAGCACCACATAAGCAAAAAGAAAAAAAGCCGGAAGTGGTGCTGTGGCTCAAGTGGTAGAGCTCTAGACTTGAGCTGAAGAGCTGAGGGATAGTGCCCAGGCCCAGAGTTCAGGCCTCACGACCGGACCCCTCCCCCCCCCCAAAAAAAAGGATTCTTCAATATGGATTATTATTTCCTAGGTGTCACTTTTCTGACTTGGGAAATACTTTGTTCTTATTTCTCTCCTTTCTTCCTAAGGTATTTCCCAGAACTGATGGAATTCTTCGCTTCTCGAGGGACCCATAGGAAAAGTGTTCTTGGAAATGACCAGTAAAACTGCGTAACTCAGTAAGTCTTTTGGTCTGAAAGATTGTGACTATGTGTATGTGTGTGCGCGTGCGCGTGTGTTGTGTATGTGTTGCTGTTTTGTAATTTTTCCCCCTGATGAGATACTTGAGGGTCAAAAATGGATAAGGTTGGGTCAAGGTCAATGTATTGGTAGCATAGTTCAGACAATAAAGCATATCTCTTCATTGACATTATATTCTTCCCATGAGACAGCTGTATATGGTCAGGAAATGGCCAAGGCAATAGCTAAGCCAATTATAAAAGAATCCCATACAAATTAAAAGGACAAGTTAGCTGGGCATTGGTGGCTTACACCAGCAATCCTACTCAGGAGGCTGAGATTCAAGGCTCATGGTTCAAAGCCAGCCAGGGCAGGAGAGTCTGTGAGACTCATCTCCAATTAACTATTAAGAATCCAGAAATGGAGCTGCAGCTCAAAATGGTAGAGCACTAACTTTGAGCACAGTTCTTTCAAGGCAAGAAACTGAGCACCAGAATCTTGAGCACAAAAGCTCAGGGAACGTAACTAGGCCCTGAGTTCAAGCCCTAAGACTGGTACCAACCCCCCAAACAAACAAACAAACAAACAAAAAACCCAAAACAAAAAAGGGAAAGTTACTTGGAATGAATATAAAACATCTTTTGAGATCTTGACTCAAAGTTTGAATATTATTCTTTTCAGTCTCTGGAGTTTAGGTTGAGGTATTAGAAAGGTCACTATCTAATTTAACATTTTTGACTAACAATGAGTTGTGTCTAGTATGAACCAGGTGATATCCCTCATGCTTTATGCAGAAGATCCTATTTATCATTGAGGAAATCCATCTTATTATATTCCTATTTTGTAGATAAATAAGTTGAAGACAAGGATAAATGTGAAACTCAGGTACAGATCCACAAACACTAAATGAGGGATCCAAAGAGTTTCACTCTGGAGTGGGAGATGTCACTGGCATACTATGTACGGACTAGCATTTTGCTGCGGTCAGGGTAAGACCTTGTTCACTGTGTACCCAACAATGACTCTCAGTATATTTCAGTGATGTGGTTTATGATAGAGAGAAAGGGAACATAAAAAAATGGATCTATATAAATCTTGGCTGAATAAACATGAATCAGTCTCTGGGCAAAGTATAGTCTTTAGAAACATCACATGACTTAGTTTAATAAAATGACATTGTTGAATTTCCATGATTGATCAATAAATCCTAAGACCCCTTTCCTTAGGCCCAATTTAATGGGTAAATTGGCACCAGGGAAGAAAACTAAAGAAATATGTAGATTTTATTTGAATGAAATAAGAGGGAGACCACAGCCTGAATAACTGTAAATTAATTTCAGAAATGAAATCTGTGAATTGATTTCACTTTCCTCCAGGGGTGCAATGCCAGAGGAACTTTCGTTCTGTTTGTTTTACATGCTTGGAATGCTGGCCCTGAATTCTCTCAAAAGTTATTTTCAGAGTTGAAGTCAA